GAATCTGGGGAGAAGAGAAACCCAGCAGAAGTTTAAATCAAGTGACAAAAAAAGGGAGTGGACTTTTCCTGAATGGATCTCTTAAAAGGAGAGAAGATTGGAGTCACTTCCGAGATTGGAGTTGTCCCGTCCTGTGTTTAGAAGAAGGGATATCCTTCATCTGATCTCAACCGGCACTGAGAAGATGTTCTTGATAACCTCAAGTCATCATTAACGTTCACAGGGGGGAGGGGAAGAACCAAGTAGATAGACCAAGAACCAGAAAGTGGTGTCCTCTCCACCTCTTCTCTTTTTCCTGACAGTCAGAACAATTACTCAGTGGAACCGCCCGCCTCCAGACGTTGTGGTTATTTCCAACACTGGAGGGTTTTCTAAAGACGAGATTGGACTTCTATTTGTCTGAAATGGTCTAGGGCAGGAGTCCTCAAAGTTTTTGAACAAGGGGCCGGTTCACGGTCCCTCACACTGTTGGGGGTGGGTGGGCTGGACCAGCTGGGTGAGCGTGGCTAGGTGGTCATGTGACTGGGTGGGCGTGGCCAACTTAGCAGTCCATTTTGCCTTTGTCCTTGCTTTACTTGCTCAACCCAAGGAATCTATTTACTTAAGACCACCCATCCCCCCAAAGGGAAAAAGAGCACAAACTTTCTTGCCACTTGCCTAACTTCATTACAACGGCAGATTCAGGCTTCTTAAAATAGGCCATTAAAGAAAGAATAAAACAAACAGGATTTCCTTCAAAATAACTCCTGATCATATCTTTCAGATGACTACACAATAAACCAGACCGAGAACTGCGCCAATTAAGACTGCAACTAAAAACCCCAAGATGGGCATTGAGAGACATTGGAAGCAAGGGGAAGAAGGCGAGAATCAACACACACAGACACAGCCTCCAATGGTGAATTAAGGAAGGATAATGGTCCCTCAGACTGTTGGGGCCAGACTATGGTTTGAAAAAAAAACATGAAATAATTTCTATGAGCACTGCACATATACAATACAATACAACAGCAGAGTTGGAAGGGACCTTGGAGGTCTTCTAGTCCAACCCCCTGCCTAGGCAGGAAACCCTACACCACTTCAGACAAATGGCTATCCAACNTTCATGTTTTAGCCTCCAGTCCCCTAATCCTCTTGGTTGCTCTTCTCTGCACTCTTTCTAGAGTCTCCATATCTTTGGGTTGCTAAGTGAGAGAGTTGTTAAGCGAGTTTTGCCCCACCTTTCTTGACCCAGTTGTTAAGTGAATCACTGCCCTTGTTAAATTAGTAATTTTTAAAAGTGAATCTGGCTTAGCCCATTGACTTCAACAGGTGATCACAGGACCTTGGAACACTGCAATTCAAAGAACTCCATCTATGCCAATTCCCACAATCATAATCTTTGTTTTTAGCTTCTGGTTTGCTCCCAAACTATCCATGTTGTCTTTGCTTCATAAAAATCCGGAAATTTGCTGTAAAAAGGAAATAAACCCCAAATACTCCAAAGAGGCCTGAGTTTTATGCACGGCACACAGCAACAAATTGTTTGTTTGAATGCCTCTGGGAGGAATTGTCTCATGGTCCTAAGGGAGCCCCAGGAGAACAACCGGAGGGACTCTTCTCGGCTGACTTGGAAACCCTAGCGTGAAACCAACTCAGAAACGAAGGGTAGAACAAATCCTTAAATTGCTTTGCCTAACTTAAATATCATTGAATCACCGTATTTTTTGGATTATAAGACGCAACTGACTATAAGACGCATCTAAATTTAGAAGAGGAAAATGGCCTCTGTGTGCCTCATTTTTGGTCCTTTTTTGAGGCCCATACCCAGCCTTTTTTTCTACCCATTTTCGAGGCTTTCTTTGGCCTGTTTTTGAGGCTTTTTTTTGGTCCACCTTTTTTATGAACGGGCCAAGAAAAGCCTCGAAAACGAGTGAAGAAAAGCCTCAAAAACGGGTCAAAAAAAGCCTAAAAATGGACCGAAAAAAGCCTCTAAAAAGCCTAAAAAACAGGCCAAAAAAGCCTTGAAAATGGACTGAAAAAAGGCCTGAAAAAGGCTAAAAAAAATGGGGAATGTGGAAGCCAAAAAAAAAATGGCTGTCAGGTGGGTGAAGCTTCGGCAATATTCATTCTATAAGACGCCCAGTCATTTTCATCCCCTTTGGGGAGACAAAAAATTGCATCTTATAGCCCGAAAAAATACGGTAATTTCATAGAAAAGGGTGGTTGCTATTAGCTGAGAAATCAGAGCATGAGTCAAGAAACGGAGCCCGGCCTTCCCTGCATGTCACTTGGGCAGAATGACTAAGAGTATCTATCACTCCCCACCTTCCCTGGGGAGGTGTGGTGGTGGGGGAAATCCCTTTCTCTCTGCTCTGCAATTCTACCAGCTTCTGAATAAACGTCATGAGCCAAGCGCGACTGAGATGGAATCATTAGAATAAAGGTGTAGAGCAGGGGGTGTCAAACTCAATTTCATTGAGGGCCGCATCTGGGTTTGTGTTTGACCTTGGGGAGGGGTTGGGGGGGGCATGGCCAGGGTGGGTGTGGCAAGCTTGACATCCCTGCGGCAGCTTGATCATTCTGCCAGTGAAAACAGGTTCCCGAGCTCCGTTTCCTGCTGCAACGGCCTCCTGCAACCAATGAAAATGCAATTGGGAATGTTGCCCGTGGGCCTCTTAAGCTCCGTTTTCAGCTGTGACAGCCTCCTGCAACCGTCTGCCAGTGAAAACGGAGCTCAGGAGCGCGGCACACAGCCCTCCCGAGCTCTGTTTTCGCTGGCAGAGGGATCATGGGCTGGTCCTTTACTGTTTCCAGGGTGGCCCCATGGGTCAGATCTAAGAGTCGGCTCCAGCTCTCTGGCCTTGAGTTTGACACCCCTGGTCTAGAACTAACTTTAAAAGGCCACTTAGTTCTCCAGAACATTCTGCTCCAATCGATGGGAGCTGCTGGGTTATCTGCCAAAGGTTAACCTCTACAGATTACTGTAATTTGTGACTCATCAGAGATAAAACTGCAAAGGAGGAGAATGCTTGCAAATCCTTCTGTTTTGAGTGGTCCCAACTCCTTTCTACCCATTTGTGCCAAATTCTGCCATTATTTCAAAATGATAGGAAAAAGTTAAAGGGAAAAAAAATAGAAGTTTGTAACTCTAAATTAGGGGGATGCGGTGGCTCAGTGCCTAAGATGCTGAGCTTGTCGATCGAAAGATCGGCAGTTCGGTGGTTCGAATCCCTAGCGCCACGTAATGGAGTGAGTTCCCATTATTTGTCCCAGCTTCTGCCAACCTAGCAGTTTGAAAGCATGTAAAAGGGCAAGTAGAAAAAATAGGAACCACCTTTGGTGGGAAGGTAACAGCGTTCTGTCTGCCTTTGACATTTAGCCATGCTGGCCACATGACGACGGAGACTCTTTGGCTTTGAAACGGAGATGAGCACTGCCCCCTAGAGTCAGGAATGACTAGCACACATGTGGAAGGGGAATCTTTACCTTTAACTCTAAATTGGGCAGAAAAAGTAGGGATTTTTCTTCTCATTGCTCAGATTTGCAGGGCGATGGATTTTAACCCTCTGATTATGAAAAACCCATTATTCTGTCCATGTTCCACCAGCTGACCCTTTTTTTTCATTTCATAGTCAATTCAACCATTGTATGCCATCCTCATCCCACTCTCTTGTTGCTGGCGTCTCTCTGCCAACAGAAGAATGCGCCTTACAAAGCAAGCTCTCTACTTCACAATATCTATGTACTACTAACTACCTCGCCTCTGTTTGGTTGCTGGTAACCTTCAACTGGTTGAAATGATGCATCTTAAGGCAATCATTTTTGAATCGATATACCTCAAATGAACTAACCTAAAGAATGCATCCAAAGACCACAACCCCTGGGATTCAAATTTGGCAAAGTTATGGCCACTTAATGCTGCTGTACTGCTGTGCTCAGCTGGACATCATTTCCAATGTTCCCTGCCAGTTTCCTACAAGGAACGTCATTGGGGAAGCCAACAGGAAGTCGGATGTCAGTCTGTTGCCGCTGCTTTTTTGGCTCAGCTGTGTTAATTTTGTTTCTCTGTTTAGGGAAATATCTCTCTCTGAAGCAATGACCCAATGGGTCACAGGTTGTCTAAGGCAAAGGTAAAGTTTCCCCTCGCACATATGTGCTAGTCCTTCCCGACTCTAGAGNCCATCCATCCATCCATCCATCAATCTGTCCATCCGATTCCTGAACATGGATGAGTCAGGAATTTTGGGAGTTGAAGTCCACAGGTCATACCGATGCCATAGTTCCCCAGCCCACAGGCTGGATGTGTCATGCTCTGGCCGTGCCCATGCCTGGATTAGCGAAGGGGGAAAAAGTCCTGATATGTCACGTGATGACGCTGTGACGACTTGAGTTTGACGCCCCTGCTCTAGCTGGTCAAAGCTACTTTTTTGCTTTGACTCTCTGCATCTGATATTTCTATTCAATTTGGAAAGATGAAAGTGCTTTCAGTTGATCGGCAAAATTAAGGTCTTTGCAAGCAAACTCATACAATAATAATCTCTTAACACCAAAGTCCATATCTGGCATGTAGAGTGTATGTTTTTTTTTAAACGATAACTCTATTAAGAGAGGTACTATTCTATCATGAAGTAGCATATGTTAAAAGCATAATTTAAATACACTCGGCTTATTAAAAATAATTGGCTCTTTCTCATAAATATAATTCAATACTGCCTACAACTCAGTTTTCTGTTCATCCAACTTCTTTTTTTTTTTAGTGTTCTAAGACATCTGCTTCGCATGATAAAGGATCATTAATTATCAAAATTCTCTGCTCATCACAAACAAGTCAATAGTTGTAATCCTAAATTGCACTAAACTTTGATTTACTGGTTAAATTCAGCAACACTCCAAGTAAAAAACTCATTCAAAAAACCAGAGTATCGTGGATTGTATCAACATAAGCTAGAAAAGGACCCCAAATATCTAAACCCAGTTCCCCAAACTTTTTTTCTCAAAAGAAAGCAGTCAAAGCAATGTCAGTTTTTAATTCTTCTTGATCTCAAGTTGATTAAAAAAATTAAATAAACAGCTCAGTTTCTGAAATGTAATACTATTGTAAATTTCATCAAATAACTTCCATATTTAGTGCTTCCCACAAAGTACCCTCAATTTTCAAGGCTAAGTGATCTTCTGGAAATTATTTTGATTTCTGGATTGCCAGAATTCATGTTTTGGTTTTATAAAAAAACAATTTCTTCAAGAGACACAACTCGGGGATATTTTTACATACAGTCCTGTTGAGTTCCCCAGGATGGAAACCTCAACATTTGATGAGTACAGATGCTGACTATCTTCAAAATTAAATACAGAAGGACCAACATTTTCCGAAAATACACAATATCATTTTAATCCAATTTGGAGCTTCAAGAGGAATGACTCAGTCTTAGAGGACCCAGTCAAAATTGGCTTGAGGATAGTTCTCCATTATTTCTAAAACAAAAAATAGGTGGAGTGGAGCATGAGTTTAGCTCTCTTGCCAGTCCATGAATGAACCAGTCTTCTTGGTCATTTTCAAAAGTGCGACAGCCTTTAAAAGGAAGTTGTCCATGGAGCAATCAACTGTGGAAAGATGACCAGCTCATATCCGACGTGTAAAATTCTGTCTCGGCTGGCCACTGTTCCAGTTTGTCTTCATCAGACTTGTCGCTTTCATCCCCGCTAGAAACCTCATAGCCAGGCAGTGGAGAAGGAACTGATTTTGCCACATCTCCAGATTCCTTCTTTTTGGCTATCAGCTGCTTGTAGCAAAGATTGCAAACCCTCAACGGTTTGGAGGAGAGCCGAGGCATGAGGAAACGCTGGCGCGAACAGTCGCCGCATACCACGAAGCCACACTTTCGACAGTGGTGCCTTCGGATGAGTGCCGAGAACTTGGTGTGGGTGCAACGCATGCAGATATCTGTTGCCTTATCCGGAATCCAAGGGGCGGCGTATTCCGTCGGGGGCTGCTGCCCTGTTTTGGACAAAAGGTGCCGAATGCATTCTTCCAGGTGACTGACCCACTCTTTGCGCTCGGTCAGCGAGGCGGCCGAAACCACAAAGGACTTCTTGGAGGTCTTGATCATCCATCTGTTCTTCATTTGCAAGGTGTCCGGCAGGATCTCCAGAGTGATCTCATCCAGCGGGATGATGTGCTGGCAGCTGTACTTCCGTTTGTTGATCACAATGCTGCCGTACACCAGGATGTCGTTGAAAAGGAAGAAAATTCGGGGCTTGGCTTTCTTACGGCATTCTTTGGTCAAAATCCCTTCACCCAAAAGGACCCTTTCTGGCACGGCTAAGGGCTGGCCGGAGGTCCCAAAGCAGTTTTCCACTGCGGCAATCCGTTGACTGTTGATCTCCGTATTAGCCAGGTAGTCTACCATGTTGAGAAGTCACCTGCAAAAAACCCCCAAAGATTAAATGACAAGATCATGTACGATTTGTTCTACACCAGGGGTGCCAAACTCAAAACCCACAGGCCCGTGGGGTGCTTAAATCTGGCCCGTTGGGCTGGCATGGAAATAGCAATGGATCAGCCCATGGTGCCTCTAGCAGCCAAAATGGGGCATGCTCCAACAGTGGAAGTTTTTAAGAAGATGTTGGATAACCATTTGTCTGAAGTGGTGTAGGGTTTCCTGTCTAGGCAGGGGGTTGGACTTGTGGACCTCCAAGGTCCCTTTCAACTGTTATTCTATTCTATTCTATATCTGAGCTTCATCTTCAGTATCTGTCCTTCCAAGGAACAGCTTCTAATAGCCACCCATATATAAACTTGTGTGGACTTCCTATCAGGGTCTTAAAGAGGCGATACCATAGATGCAATGAATCAGCCTCAATGCACCAGCCTTACAATTACATTGCATCAGTTTACAGATTACAGCTTACAACCTTTCATCAGCTGGCAGCTATTAAATCCTCATTACCTGACAAAACTGCTTACATTAGAGCCGGGGTGTCAAACTCAATTTCATTGAGAGCCGAATCAGGCTTGTGTTGGAACTTGGGGGGCCAGGGGGGGGCATGGCTAGCTCAACGTCACTCATGTTTTGGGGCACCTGTAGCGGCCCTAAGCATTCTGCCAGAGAAAATGAGTCCGCAAGCTCTGTTTTCGGCCTGGACAGCCTCCTGCAACATTCTGCCAGCCAAAACAGGGTGCGGGGGGACCCCCGAATTAAGCACTTGGCCTTATTTTTGGGGAGGTCTTATTATTTTAGAGGTGCAGGAGGCGGTGAGTGTGGTCACCTCATGGCTGCTGCTGTGTTTAAATATTTTCGGGGTGGGTGGGTGGGTTATTTTAGCGCATGCGCTCAAAAGCCCGATTGGGCTTATTATCTGGGGAGGTCTTATTTTCAGGGAAAGAGGACAGTAAAGAGACATTGTTCTACTTTTCTTCGGGTATGTGAGAGTTCCTTGGTTTTTTTAAAAAAGGGATTCTCATTCAACATTGTCCCTCCCCGATATACGATTTCTAAAACAGGATCATCTCCAAAGTATTTTTCCATGCAAGAATCCATAAGATCCTAAGCAAACATCATAGGCAGCCTGAGAAGCAAGCTCCAGGGACTTAGATGTCACATTTCGTTTGTTTAAACAAAGCTTAACAGCGCTGGTCTCAAGCAAAACACTCTGAAATATGGCGGTGGGAAATATGAGTCATTTCCTCATGAACAAAGGTAAACTGAAGTTCACAGAGAACGTTCCCTTATTTCTCTTCCAGAGACAAACACAACTGCTAATATAACGGGTCATTGGCCAACAAATACGAAGGTCCTATCAGGGCAGGTTTCTTATCTGGAAAGAGTGTACAAATAAGCATTTTTTTTTAAAGAGACTTTTGTGAATGTTACATCCCTAAGTGGTAAGAATACAGAGTGTAATAGGGATACCATCATCTTAAGAAAGTAAGAAACAGAACAATAAGGTTCTAACCAAGGAAACGACTACAGCACACAACCTCAATCTTGTGGTTTGTTATATCCGGCTTACAAACATATGTGCCAGCCTGCTATTCCTTTTGTCATGGAGGGTAGAAATGTATCTGCAGTGATAAGTCTTGAGTTGCAAAAGATTTGGCATTCAACAGAATTTAGCTCTAGAAGACCTTCCAATCCTAATGTTCTGTATTCTATTCTGTAAACTTCAATGCCATCTTCCTTCCTCTTCCTTCATTTCTTCCTCCCTCCCTCCATCTTCCTTCCTTCCTCCCTTTCTTCATTTCTTCCTCCCTCTTTCTTCCTTCCTTTCCTCCTCCCTCCCTCTTCTTTCTCTTCAAAGGGAGGGAGGAAGGAAAGAGAATAGAGAGAGAGAGAGAGAGAGGAAGGAGAATAAAGGGAGGGAGGAAGAAAGGAGAATTGAGGGAGGGAGGGAGGGAGAGAGGAAGGGAGGAGAATAGAGGGAGGAGGGAGGGAAGAGAATAGAGGGAGTGAGGAAGTAGGGAGGGAGAGATGGAGGAAGGAAGGAACAAAGGAAGGAAATTTTGTAAAAAATATTTAGGTAACTATTTTATTCACCTTCTGGAAATCATTTGTAGGAACTGACTTAAAACGTTCCAGTTCTTCAATTATAGGCAGGCAATTATTCTCCTCCCCAAACAGTGCTTTAAAGACTTTGTTTAAATTTCTGGAAAGTTTATCTCTTTAAAACAAGAGAGCGCCAGTTCTTTGGCTTGAAAAGCAGCAGAGATCTTGAAGGGCTAAAAGAGGCTCTTTCACAGCAGAGTCCTGCATGTTCCTTCTTAGAAATAAGGCTTCCCGTTTCAGCTGGGCTTCCTTCCCAGAGGCTGCAGAATTGGCGTCTTTCGTTATACGGATCACTTGGGCAAAATTCAAGGACGCTTATTGTGATCGCTTTAGCCAATCCGAAGCCTGGGTTGAAACGTTTTGTAAGAAAGCTTTTCTTTTGCAATATAACTAGTCTCTTTGAGTTGGAAAGCCAAAAACCCACCCCCAACAACTTAAAACCCACAGCTCCTTCAAAACTGAATGCTTTGAAAGTTAAAGAGGAGAATATTTTTTTTTTTTGCAGGAAACAAAAACGAAGTCACACGTTTGCACACAACTTGCATTGTGGTTTATAAGGCCGTGGCTTAGCACAGCTTTTCCCCACTGTACACATCCTTTGTCTCTGTTAATTTCAACTTCCATGCCTTCCTCCCATCCAGCATGAAGATGGCTAAGAGTTACAGCAGACGAACTATGCAAATTTCGAGCTGAGAAAGACTGGGTAGCGTGTTAGAAGATCCCAGCCTTTGTGGCTTATTCAACAAACCAGAGTTAAAGGATATCATCGTCATGCAGTATAGGTAGTCCTCAACGATTCCACCACAAATCCGCGAAGCCCTTATCCGCGGAGACATAAGCGCGAAGACTAATTCGCGCCATTTGAAG